AACAATTGTTCTTCAAATTTATATGACAGGCCATGTTTAAACATGAAAAAACGCGATTTAGGGTAATTTCAAGTATTTTCATCATTTTCTGTTAATGAAAAAAATAAAAAAACCTACAAAACAACAATTTTTCTTCAAATTTATATGACAGGCCATGTTTAAACATGAAAAAAACGCGATTTAGGGTAATTTCAAGTATTTTCATCATTTTCTGTGAACCCATTACTTCATATACACGCCTTTTAACGCCTTTTTCACCCCCCTCCCCTTTTTTGTTGTCTCAAATATTAAAAATGCCTTATTTAGGCCCCAAACACTTGTTTTTGTTTGAGAAATGTTGTTAAAAAAGTGACCTCTTTTTCGGCGCGGCCCCCCAACCAAAAGATACATCAGGGGGTTGCCAGAAGGGGGATGAGCCCCCTTCTGTTTGGGGGGTTTGAAGGGGGGCGGAGTCCCCCTCATCGCTAAGAAAATTTTGGACTTGTGAGAGGCTGTAAATGACCCCAGATTGATCATAAGGTAACGTGTAACCAACGCTGAAAAGCATTTGACTCTATCTCAATCCATTGAGAAGTTGCAGCACTTTGAAATCAATTTTGATGGAAAAAATCAACGCAAAATAGTGATTTCTGGCAATTTTGAGATGTCCCCTCGTTGCCATGGTAACAGAAAATTTAAGCCTGAGCATGTTGTTGCAAGGGCAATGGTCCAGTCAACATTCGTGCCAAGTTTGATTAGTGTTTGAGCAGTTTTTAGAGTATTATAGCAATTTGAACTTGTAACGGGAGACTTTTCAATGAAAACAGCCATTTTTCACAAAATGCTCATGAAGTAATGGGTTAATGAAAAAAATCAAAAAAATCTACAAAACAACAATTGTTCTTCAAATTTATATGACAGGCCATGTTTAAACATGAAAAAACGCGATTTAGGGTAATTTCAAGTGTTTTCATCATTTTCTGTTAATGAAAAAAATCAAAAAAATCTACAAAACAACAATTTTTCTTCAAATTTATATGACAGGCCATGTTTAAACATGAAAAAACGCGATTTAGGGTAATTTCAAGTATTTTCATCATTTTCTGTTAACCCATTACTTCATATACACGCCTTTTAACGCCTTTTTCACCCCCCCCTTTTTTGTTGTCTCAAATGATGAAAAAATGCCTTATTTAGGCCCCAAACACTTGTTTTTGTTTGAGAAATGTTGTTAAAAAAGTGACCTCTTTTTCGGCGCGGCCCCCCAACCAAAAGATACATCAGGGGGTTGCCAGAAGGGGGATGTGCCCTATAAAAAGAAAGGTGTAATAAAGATTTTTCGAGCCAGAGTTAAATTTGCCTGCAAGAATAGCACTAATGCACAATTCATTCGTAATAATATAATAGCTGCAGAAACCATCGGACTTATCAAATGACCCGCCCCACAGCGCAGTTGACTTCTTAACACATTTAATGTAGGACGAATTAAAGATGAAATAAAAATGTGGAAAGTTAAGCGTAAAACAGAAAGGAAATCTTGATATTTGCGACAGGAGAAAATTATTAAATGCTTCATTACCTAGTATTAGATGATAGGTAATAAAAAGTGAATTATTTAAAGACTTTCAACTATCATGTGATTTAAATGATTGCTATAACATATCAAATCAATTTATGGGTTTCGATTATCAAAATTTGCTAACTGCAAGACGAAACTTTGCATAGAATATCTATAACAGTATTGGTTTTCTTTTTTTTACAATCAAGATGACAATTTTTTCTTCTACGTGTATAAAAAGGTATTATTTTGAAGACAGTTTGGTGTAAGATTTCAAAATTACAGTGATGAGTCAATTAAAATAAAAACATCGCAAGATATAACGTTTATTATGTAACTGCTGTTGAAAAGAACTTAAAGCTTACTGCGTTAAATTCATACTAGTGGAACTTAATAAAATTACCAATCCTATCAATATTGCTATGTATCACTTTATCTATTTGGAACTCTGAAATCAGTTTTATTTCATCTAAAATATAAATATACAACAATTGTCCGAATGCTCTAATATGTAGATATGACTCAAGCATCGTATGTTGTGTTTTAATTATGGCTAAGTATACACAACATAAGACCTACTTTTACCCTATACTAGACAGATGTGTATGCTTACATTTTCGAAATTTGTCTTTGCTTGATAAAAATAATTGACTAATGTATAAGTCAAATAAGATAATGCAAGCATCAAAAGATAGCGTAAGTATTAGATGATTAAAACAGGCATGTGATGATTGATGGAAGTTCGATACAATTGATGCAAATTTATAAACCTGTATTAGATAATTTATGATAGATGATATGTAAATGTACGATGATTTAAAATACCTGATATATTAGTAAAAGAGTATCTATGATAGTTGATAAAATAGTATTAAATATAAATATACAATTATCAAATGCAAAATGATATATTTATAAAGATATGTACGATAATTTCTATATTAGTATAAGATAATCGAACATAAATATTGACACATCGAATTTATGATGATGCTTGATAAACTAGTATTAGATGACTCAAAATAATTGACATAAATGATATTATTACTTGATAACGATTATTAGTAATTAATGATACGTGTTATTATGATAAGTATAGTACGCTGACGTATAACATGTGATTTACTAGAATACATTTACATATTTAATATTAGATGAATAATTATATACATGTTTTTTATAAACATACGATAGTGTGTATATTAGTATAAGACATTTTGATCATTGATAACGTTGGTTTAAAATTGGTGATGATGCATGATAACTTAGTATTAATATTTTTGTTTGTTTTGTTTTGAGTTTTACGTCACATCGACACAGTATATGTCATATCGCGACGTTCCAGCTTTACTGGTGGAGGAAGACCTCAGATGCCCTTCCGTACATTATTTCAGGCACGAACGGGTACCTGAGTAGAACCACCGACGTTCCGTAAGCTAGCTTGATAGTCTCCTCACATGAAAAGATCCAAAGTCCCTGTCGGGTTTTCGAACCCACAGAGGTAAGGGGCAAGTGGTTCAACGACCTAAAACAAGTCGGCCACGGACACCCCAGTATTAATATGATTGATAATAGTTGATATATAGGGATTAATGAGAGATTATAGTTGATGTATAAGATAATAAATGGTAATCAAATCTGAAGAGTAACATGCTAGATAATTGTCGATAAATTAAAATTAGATGACATGTTAGTATAGGATAATTTAATTATGCATGATACATAAGTATTAGATGATTTACAATTTTTGATTTATTTGTACAAGATAATTGCTTATAATTTATATATTGGTATTAGTATTTGTCTTTGTAGTTGGTTATTGATATAATAGTTTTAGAAGATGTATAAATATTAAATAAAGTTAATATGTACGAATTAGAAAAGTGATTACATATGATAAATTAGTGTTAGATGAGTGACACTAGTTCACATTTTTATTATAAAAAAATGATCTGTGATAGTTTTCTATTATAAGCAGTCCATAATTGATGATATGTTAGCTTAAGATGTTTGGTGATAATTTATATAGTGTTATCTGTTAATTGATAAAGGTGGATATTATAGTATAAGAAGGATAATAATTGTTGACGTAAATTCGTATACGTATATGATGATTGCTGTTAGCTGGCATATTAATAATAAAAGAAAATTGTAGTAGAACATGATTCATGCGTAAATTAAAGCTGGTGAATGATTTGATGAGTGATGATTCTTGATAGTTTATTCATAAACACAAAGTAACCTAAGTTAATATATACATGTATACGATGACTTTAAACATATGATATGATTACTGAAAGTTGATTAAACAGTATATTAATATAATTTATGATAAATGGTATCTAAACATAAATTTTATTGGTGATACTTGATGAACTAGTATAAGATGAGTATAATTATTTAAATATCTGAATAAGAGGATCGATGTCATTGATAATTTAGTGTTAGATGTGATATAAATGCTTTCATGTAAGTATGAAATATAAGCGATTATAATTTATCTATTATTATTAAACGGTGATGCAATACTAAACAATGATTTGTGAATTATGATATATTCTATAAGTACATTAGAATCATTGTTAGTTCATTTTTAGTGATGATTTGTGGAAGCTTGTATATAAGGAATAGATTATTTACAATAGTTGATACTTTAGTTATAATCGAAAATTTATAATTACTGGTTCTCCATAATTGATGTTTCATATTATTAACGTCATATGTTTGATGATATATGATGTATGTGCATTAGGTAATTGATGATAGCTGAAATTTAATTAATATGTGATCAATGACATTCCATACTTTTGTATAGACTGATCGATGAAAGTTCTTATATACGTTTATTTTATTTCATATAGCTTGGTATGTATAATTTGTTATAGCTGGAAAAAAATGTATAAAATATCATGGTTTATACATGAGTTTCGAATGAGTGATAATATTTAATATACATTTACTAGTATTTAATTTACTGATTGATGATAGTTAATGAGTATTATACACTTGTTTATATATCATAAATAGATCATATAAAATAGCTAATTATTATTAACGTGTATCATATGATTGACTTTAGTTCATATATTAGTATTTTATTTATATTATTGATGGTAGCAAATTTATTAGTAAAAGATTATTGACTTAAGTTGGTACATTAATATTTGATGAGTAATTCTTTTTTAAGATATTAATCAGAGATGACTGATGATAGTCAGCATATAAGAATAAAACGATTGATGCTATATGAGATAGAAGCATAAGATGGTTTACAAATTAATATTATAAAAATCATTGTTATTAATTACTGGTATACCAGAAATCATGTACCACACTAGAAACAAACAAGTGAGACAACATTCCTAACTTATAAATTCTTGTAAGAATAAATCTACTCTATGTATATTCATCTTCATCACGAAAACAATTACAAGCAAAAAAAACATTCAATGTAAATGAATCGTCTTACACTTACCCTATTTTACAACGGATTTTATCTCCCACTTGCCACGATTGTCGATGCTTTATATCGCATACACTTCCATTTTTCCGAACACTTATAAAAAAGATTATACAATGTTTATATAGAAGCATTAAAAAACGATGCTCGTCATAAGTATGTTCTGGTAACAATACAATGTACAGTATTTCACATAGAATAACTGATTTTGTTGTGTTTTTTTTTCTCTCAATAATTCAGATACTAATCGATAAAAAATTACGTGTTTTAATGAATACAAAATTACCTCGATGATTTAAATGTGTAATATCAAACATGTAGTGTATGTTTGTCATTGATTATGTAAATGGAATTATTTGTAAAATGTGTCTTTCATTGTAAAGTATTTACCATCCATTTTCTATTTTTGCTATTACGGAAACGTATAGCGACCACCCCTATATGTTAGTTAAAACATAATTTTTTACAATTTATTCAATACATATTTTATACCTTACAAATTTGTACAAACTTACTCGATCTAAAATATTTATCTAGTAATATCTACCGCCCCTGCATGTTGGTAAAAACAGAGTTTAAGACAATTTAGTTAACACACGATATATATTTGACTTATTTACATTGTTATTTGATCTTGAATATATATCATTTACTCAATCTGCTGTTTATATTTACTGGATTTAAATTTGTGTGACACTTTTCCTTTAATTTATATGTTTTAGTTATATATATTGAGGTTTTTTTATTCGCATACCTCTATCATTATAAAATATAATATAACATATTTTCTATTTATATTTGATAATGAGGACAGAAAAATCTCGCACAATAGAAAGCTTTTTTAAAAATTATATATGAAATATTTGAATGAGGCTTTTTGTGTTCCAAAGATAAAGGAATGTTTAAATAATTGTGCTTCAGATAGTGTTACAAGATAAAGATTATATAAAAGGACAAACTCCGTTAGTTGTTGATAAGCATAAAATATGCTAGTGAAGTAGTACCTGATGTAAATTAGTTATCATAGAAACCATTATATTTTTGGCAACTTCCGACAAATTTACCATTTTAAATGTATGTACAGAGGATAGTACATGATAAATATTATATAAAAAGGTAAATTCGACCAGATGATGTTATTATAGGAACATAGATCCCAAAACTACGGAAACGTATAGCGACCATCCTTATATGAAATATATCAAATGACTTTTTTTACAGTTTTATAGTATGTTTGTTATATGCAAATATAATTTGAGGAAAGAATTACATATCTAAAAAGATGTAAGTGTTTTATTTTTTCATTTTGTCAAAAAGTTAAAAGTAGTTTATCTTGCATTATAAGATAAAAACGTACGAAAGATTACAAAAAATACGTATTATATATGTTTAACAATATTACTTGATTTAATTGTTGCCTTTATCAAATACAAATGTCTTGACTTTTCTCGTGTCACACATAATATAAGAAGAAATATCGCTTGCGCTTTGGAATCTATGTTCCTATAATAACATCAACTGGTCGAATATTCCTTTTTATATAATATTTTTCATGTATCATCCTCTGTACATACATTTAAAATGGTAAATTTGTCAGAAGTTTTCGTTTTGAGCTATATATTATATATCTTACAAAAATATAATGGTTTCTATGATAACTAATTTACATCAGGTACTACTTCAGTAGCTTATTTTATGCTTATTAACATATTATCAAATATAAATTGTAAAATATGTTATATTATATTTTATAATGATAGAGGTATGCGAATAAAAAACCTCAATATATAAAACTAATACATATAAATGAACAGAAAAATGTCACATAAATTTGAATCCAGCAATATAAACAGCAGATTTAGTAAATGATGTATATTCAAGATCAAATATCAATGTAAATATTGTCAAATATATATCGTGTGTAAAATAAATTGTCTTAAATTCTGTTTTTACCAACATGCAGGGGCTGTAGATATTACTAGATAAATATTTCAGATCAAGTAAGTTTGTAAAAATTGGTTAGGTATATAATATGTATTAAATAAATTGTCAAAAATTATGTTTTAACTAACATATAGAGGTGGTCGCTATACGTTTCCGTACAAAACTTAAGCGATAGTTCGTCTTATATGATGTGTAACACGAGAAAAGTCAAGACATTTGTATTTCATAAAGGAAGCAATTAAATTAAGTTATGTTGTAAATCATATATAATACGTATTTTTTGTAACCTATCTTACGTTTTTATCTGATAATGCAATATAAACTACTTTTTGACAAAATGAAAAAATAAAACACTTACATCTTTTTAAATATGTAATTCTTTCCTCAAATCATATTTGCATATAACAAACGTACTATAAAACTGTAAAAAAGTCATTTGATATATATCATATAGGGATGGTCGCTATACGTTTCCGTATTCTATTCACCGGAAACGTCAATTGTAATAAGCATGTATGAAAAAAGAAGAAAGTTTGAAAACAGAATACACTGTTTGTCTTAAAAACACATGTTGTTTAATGAACTTTTGTTATACCAAACTTAACATTTGGTGCGCATATGTAATACATCATGCGTGAAAAAAGAGTTTGAAAACATCAAAATACACAATTTTAATATTAACACGTCGTTTTTCATTCCCAACTTTACAGTTGGTGCATTTTGGTAACAGTCTCCTTCTGATGTTACGAAAACTCAACTTCTCAAGATTGAACGGAGTAGCTCATAAATCAAAACATACTATTTAGTAAATTTGAACATAAATTAAAAAAAATAAGATCTAACAAAATATAATCTGACCGTAGGTTGTTTAAATTAATGTAGGAGAAAGTAGCACATCTTATTGTTCATTCTGGTACCCTGCATACACTTTGAACTTCATCTGGGCTAAGTTTAAATACTTCCAAAGTGTGTTTGATTTAAAATTAAGCTATAATACGGTCAAAATATTATTAATAAATCAACTGAATAATTTGTATCATAAATTGTTAACAACGATTGAAGCCATCGTATAACTGATAAACAATGTTTAATTGATTTTTTTATTATTTTAAACTAACTGCATGCCCTTACAAAACCATATTGTTTTGTAAACTGGTACATGTATATGCTTTTATCAATTTGAATATCTGGAATAGATGCATTGTCTGTAAAAAATTACCAAAAACACATTGTATGCATCGTTGTCGTACTTTATTTTACAACAAAAACCTTTCCGTTAGGTTAAACAAACAAAGAGGATAATAGAACACAATATACATAAAAAACTAAATAAGTTTTTTTATATAAAAAAAATTGGATACCTAGATAAATCTATTTATATCAATAATGAACATCGTTTTAAGTTTTTCATGGTATATTTTATGAAAACATATCGAATAATCCACTTATGTAAACCAGGATAAATAGTTCTGATTAGGTTTAATCATATAATAACTTAAAATAAACTGTAAGACTGAACAATTTAATGAAAAATTAGATAATAAAGCTGTCTATACATACTTGCCGTCTGAATGGTATCCACAGGAATTATTGCCTACGCCCAGTAGAAGATTGTCAGAATAGTTATCTGGCACTACACCAATAGCTAGAATATAAATATATACTACATGTTCTATTTTGGGTTTTTACATGACGAAAATATTACAAGATAACTTAAATTCTGAGTGTAAATAAAAACTAATCTAAAAACTAACATTTTCATTGATGGTAAAACATTTTTGCTATTCAATAAGAAAAAGTAATAAACAATATTTGAATTAAAACAAAACAGGCTAGACATGGCATTGCTAGAAAGAAAAACACATTTTGTAAAACGCGTAATGTTTATATTGTAAGCAATAGTATAAATGCCGTTCTATTCAAAATCATAATGACGTTATCATTGATTGATATGATTAATACTAGAATTACTTATGAAATGTCTACAAACTGACCTTATAAGTCTGGTTAATATTTATATAATAAGTATATAATGCAATATAACATATAGGCCATATATTATATAATTATAATGTTACCTATAGACCCTCTTTTACCCATGCTTATTATCTCAATTTCAAAGAATGTTCCGATATGCACGTTTTCCTTGAACACGTACAATCCAACATCATTACTTTCGTATGCGGCATAACTGTAAAAATAAATGTAAAACCGTATTACTAGAGTGCATACATTTGTAACAAAGCAAAAGAATGAATTTAATTTATAGGTAATAATTCTGATTGTATTTGAAATGTTTGTGACCTTTGGGTGTTAAAGCATGCTGTTTCGCTGGTGTATTTAACATCGTTACTTTTGATAAAAACTCTACGTTGTTTATTTCAAAGGTTTATTTTTAAGTGCTGATGATTATCTTATGGTAATTCACGTTGATTTTACTTAATTAGTAATAAAAACATCAAAATTGTATTTTGTATCAATACCATATGTCTACATGTATATTATTCACATGCATGTTTAATAAGAAAAAAGAAACAACAAATATATATATATTTCAATTCAGTATTGCTATATTCCTTTTAAGAGTATATATAATTAGCAAACATATATAAGAATTTTCTATATTGTCTATAAATTGTTCAGATTGAAGTTACGTTTTATATTAAGTTTAAGCGTTTCTTTTTGCATAAGAGTACATTGTTACATATATAGAATTGATTTGAAAAAAACGCATAATCTACATTTAAGCTGTATACATACCTGAGACATTCGCCATCTATTGTTAGATTTTTGCAAACCAGTTTTCTGTCAAGTAATGGCTACAATTGAAACACACAATAAATTCGTTAAGGACACTTTAATGAACAACTGCTACATCTGTATTTGAAAAAAATATGCAAACAAAATTATAGAAGTGACATCATGTAATTAAAAATAAACAAGTAAAACTCAGCGTTATCAAAGATAAGCAACATGTCAATAAAACACACATTGAATTGAATCCTCAAGTAAAACATATTCGCTCCATTTGTGTTGTTTATTAAACCCCAAAGTCGCGTCAAATTGATGTCGTTACATGCAGACAAAATCTGCGCTCTTTGTATAAAAACTGGTTTGATAAAAAATGTTACATTCATAGATTTTTACGATGATATATGCCATATCTATCGCCAAAAGTGACAAGCGATTAAAAAACCCATCATTTTTCAATAATGTTTAACATGGTTGGTTGTTTGTTGATAGTTAACATTTTAGCAGGTCAAGACATTTGTAGTAGATGTCTGTTTAGAGAGTTTGAGTAAGCCTTTTTATCAGCAATATGCATTTAACTTCTAAGAATATTTCATCTATTGGTCAAATAACCCCTTTTGTTATTACTAATTACTTAAGTGTTGCAGTTAAAGTTTATGCAACGTCTTAAAGTACATGTAGGTTCAACACGAAACACATAATATTAAATCTACATATACTCGAACCCCATGATACCGGTGACTCCAAGGAACCGATGTATTCACATATCTCGCGATATTATTGTCAACGAGTTTCCGAAGAAAATTTTTCTCACTTCCTACCTTATTTTTCTTTTACTATCCTATTCTTCCATTGCATAAATCGGTCTCTCTACAAAACACTTTTTTCCCCAAAAAAATATGACAGGTGCTGACGTCATTTATACCTCCATTATATCATTCGGAACTGCCTCGGCTATTATCTATAATAACCTCGGAAACAATACGGATTCAAAGTAGTTCTACCACGTGGTAACAGATGTAAAGAGTAACAGAGATAATGTAAAACGAATGTATATATTTGACATCTAATGTCTGTTCCCGTACTATTTTGCTTGACAACAATTTGTAATTTAAATATGCCCACTGATGTTCAATTTTAAACAAATCAAACAAAATGTCAACAGGTTGTTTTTTATGTACTTTCGGTTTCTACAAATAATAAATATAGAAATAATGTAAAGCTTGCTTTTGTACCTATGAATTCATTATTTTAGGTGAACCTCTACTGCATATATTGGAAATAAACTTGTAAACAACTCCCAGCATTAAATTACTTTTTGTTTACATGTTTAGTTTCTTAGCGTAGGTTAGACCGAAATACCGCATCCTTTCTGTGTATTCATACTATTGTGTTCGAGGTCCTTATCCGAAGACTGACGGATATGGCCGAGTAGTTGCGATTGTCATTATATGTCACCTGACCTTTTGTCATCATATTTGGCGGGAAAAATATTAATCTATGGAAAGCCATTAGTGCACATAAAGTAGTTTGTGAAAATTGAAACGTCAGTTTCATTCAATCCTTTAAAGGAGTCTGTGTAAAATGTCATATTGATATTTAATCTTCATCATATAGAAATAAAATAGATTCAATGACATAAAAGGACCAAAAATCACATCAACAGTAAAAAGTAGTGTAGGGAATTTTTGAATCCAGCCACATGTATCATATATACACCTGTAATTGGGAGTGAAAGATTCTAAAACAGAGATCGCTTGGGAGTAATAAAAATGAACAGTAAATTATTGAAACACACATTTTTATGTGGATTTATTTTTTTGGTTCAGATGTGAATACAATAATGCTTAAATGATATTTTTGCTATTAAAACTGCAATGGCTTTCCATATAAATAACTTTTCGCCAGTACACCGGTAGCATGAAGTCTGTTTAACTACGTCATACAAAATGGTGGACCATTGTTTTCTTTCGTAGTGAGGAGAATTTCAGAGTAACATAACTCTATTATGTAATTTTAGGAGGATTAAATGGTAATGAAGTTGTTTATTGCTTTTTTTTCAAGTCAGTAAAATTTTATCTGAAAAACACCTTGAATAAATTATGTACACCGGTATCGTGGAGACCCGGGTTACTTTATCAATTTGTAAATTTGCGTAAATCACAATAACATCGATCATTTATTTTTAAATTACTGAATTAGTCTGTTTCGTATTTGCACTTTTAAAATGATGGTATTGGTGAATATATGTAATACTTTTATTTTTTGAACTGTTGGTATTAATTTCAAATACATAACGGATATACATTTTGGATTGAACTTACATATAATTTATCTGAACATGAATTAAATTATAATGAAAGTCCCTAAATGGATATGACACATTCATTTTTACATCGATTAATCAATTAAATAGAAAGGAAATTATTTGAAAATTAAATGCAGTGTACAATCTGTCAACGCATGAGTATTTAATATACATGTTTCGAAAGAACTTTCAAGCGGTACATCTGGTGAATTATGATTAAATTAAAAGAAAATACTGGCAAAAAAACATTTGAGGCTTATGCATCTCACACACATTATTTCCATATTGTTTTATGTTTTTAAAAAATGTCAAACATGTAGTTGTTTGACTTGCATACAAAATTTTCATTCCCTAGAATTATACTCGTTTCCAACAAAGCAAAGGAAGTAACAGATGGTCCATATATGTGGCAAATGACTATTTTTTTATTTTTGTTTTGAACTGTAACAAGATACCAAAATCAAAAGAGGTTTAGATCAACAAATCTGATAGCACTCCTGATAACCTATTGCAATACATGTGTTACAAGTTTCGTTTGGTCATGATAATAGAATGAAATAGAATATTCAACTGACAAGGATAGTCGGGGTCTTATATACCCTAGCATATTTATAATAATTATGCCAATTTATTCATAGCATATCATTTCCAAATATGTGTCATTAAGTTCTGTATCATTTATAAAAATAAGTTTCACAATTCTATGCCCAAAACCAAGAAGTTAATAACTTAAAACTTATTTTTTGGAACTAAATATTCGTAATTTTATATTCTTTATAATTTTGTACCACGGAGACACACAATCATAATCAGAATTTTATATTTAAATGGTGACTTTATAATAAACTAATATTATTTCATTTATTTAACACAAAATTAAAAGGTTGGCGTCAGACATTGTTAAAATTACCTTAAGAAATGTCATATTATACTGCAATCACAACAAAATAGTTTAAGATGTCACTTAATTTCATCAAGCACAGTTTGTGCCTTAAACATTTAAGATATTAAAGAACTCACTTGAAGCTTTTTTTGCGCAATGGCCTTGATCGCATCTTCTATTGTACATGTCTCTGCCACTTCTTTCGCTATTAATATTACACGTCTCAAGATTAGATAAAACAAAATACTATTTAAATAAGAAACAGTTTTATGATGTGAGGACTACTATTGATTATTATATTAAAAATCACCAATGTAAGACATGCAAATTACAAATACTTGAAATGAAATCTCATATATAGTATCACCCGTGCGTATTCACATAAATATAACACAAACTGTATAATTAAGCATGGATATGAATTTTTTTATTAAAATTCGTTTGTAAAGTTTTTTTTTTTAAAAAATGCCTATCAATCAAAATCAATGTTGAAAAAAATAACTTACCAATTTGTTTGTTTCTGCTTTCACTTTGTGCTTGCTACATAATAAATAAAGAAATATTTAAATTGATAATTGTCCTCATTCATCATCTTATTAGAATAATTTCTTTTAATGATCTTGATACAAAAGGAATATATGAGACTATTGTATTTAAAGCATTTTTTTCAGGCAATTTTAAATCTATTTCCACGAACAGCAAAACAAATGTATAATTATTTAAACAAGATCATGAGTTCATCTAAGAAAATATTCTGATTCTTTAAGAAAAAAGTAATAATCCAGTTAAGTGAAATAAAGCCATTATTCTGCGATTTTCGTATCAATGATAACATCGCTTACATAGATATCAGGTTGCCCTCTGTAGCTAAAAATAGGTTATTGACTCGGCTTATGTATCTTGGCAGTTAGTACATATATATTCAAATCGTACTACTGTTTACAGTATATCACCTTTATTGCAAAATATTTACGTGTATTTAGTTCAGGGGAAATATATAAACATGGATTTAATCAGTAACAACCTCACTGTTTAGAACATGATAGCCCATTCTAAGGACAGACCGGTAATTCAATTTTGAGCTGTAGTGTGACCTATCTCTCGGCAGTACCCATAAACGTTTTACGTGTCCAAGGAAGCATATTCAATATTTTGTGTTGTGGGCATTAACCTGACGCAAATAAGTCAATACGTTGTTTTATATATCTGCGTATTTAAGGTCTTGTTTCTATAACAACAGTCTATCATTATACATTTTGCTGCTGTGTGTTCCCTATTTTAACTTGTGTTCTGTAACTTAAAGAGTTTCATGTGTCATCACTTGAGATCTCAAAGGAACTGTAAAGAGGTTTTTAATAAATCGACTGACCTGAGGTAAAGGATCTTGAACTTGTCCTTCATCAGCGGAATAAGCTTGTTTAAATTCGTCTTGATGATGTTCACCTAAAATGTACAATCATAACACTGAAATAATCTCGTAAATTAAATATAATAATTTCTTAAATGAAAATAACTGAACATCGTGTAGCATTAAACTTAACTACAACAAGAGTTCAAATAAAGAAAATCGTTACTGGTACCAGGTGATATTTAAACGATTACTTAAGTATGTTTAAGTGATGATCATTTGTTTTCACGTGTCTTTGTTATTGATTTAATGTGTATAGGAAAACATAAATGGGTATACGAAAAACTTACTTCGTTCAAACGACTGTTCAATGAGCATCCCAATCACCTTGTTTTCTGTTATTGACTGAGCGAGAATTTTGTCTTGCATGAATTTATACTGAGTCACAATGTTTTTGTGTCTGAAACTATCACAATTTTGCTTGATCTTTTTCAGTTCTGGTTTCATTAGTAGGGTGGCTACAAAAAGGTTATTTGGCGTGTCACTTTTTGACTCCAGTTCAATATTTTGGCGTGTCAATTCAGCTATCAAGTCGTCGATATCCTTCTGTAAATCTTCCATTTTCCTCTTGTCATTCAACATAATGTCCTTTGCCTGATTCAGAACCTTCTTTTTCATTTTATTTATACGTTCAATTACATGATCTGTGAATGCCTCTACGTCGCTAACAAATTGCTCATAGAACTCGGTAAGCTGTTTTCGGTTGCTCTCTATCAATGATAGACTGTCTTCAGCCTCTTTCATGCATTTATTCATCTCCTTTCTAAGATTTTCAAATTCTTGACTGTTTTCATATGCAGCAGCTTTGTCACGAATATGTTCCAACTTGCATCCATTATGATATACAAGAATGCATTCTGCACAGCCAACTTGGTCGTGCTTTGAACAATAAATTTTCACAAATTCTCCATTGTGCTCTTGGCATGTTTCATACGTATCACCAACCGTTACCTTTACCGAACTCGAATCATCGACTGATACTAAGGAATGATTTCTATTACTTTTACGTCCTTTGTGTTTCACAAAACATGAATTGCAAATGTTGACTTCACATTCTAGGCAAAACCCGTCTGCATTACTTGTTATATCATAATCTTCACATAAACTACACAGTTTGGCATTTTTGTCTTTCGTCACTTTTTGACCAGGAACTTCCATAATTTTGTAACAACAGCGTACCTTTAAGTCATAAAATTAAAGTAACATGTTTTAATTGTTCATCTTACAACAGCATGCATATAGTATCATTTGTATATGAATTGTTATCTGTATACACAAACATACCTTTATGATAACTTATCACTAGCATTTCATGTTTATTGTTACAAATCTTTGATACTGTCATAAACATAGTGTAAACTTGATTTTTAATGATGTAAATTCTTCAATTATGGAAGGAGATTGAGGAATACCCCTTTATAAACCGCTGATCCTGTAGGTTTATGATTATATGCTCACAATAAGAACTCTAAAATAACGCATACAATTAAGAAGAAATTTAATTTCAAAATGCGTTTTCTTTGCATAGGCTAACCAGCTATTTTTTACAACTATAATTATTTATATGACAAAGAACAAACTTACTTAGCACTATACAATTATTTGATATTTTATTAACAGTGCATATATTCAAATTATATCTATGTGTTATGATATCTTAGAGAGAAAAATATCATAAATTTATTAATGTTTTATTATATAGCTAGGACACACCTGTATACATATGGTTTAAAGTTTTTTTGGGTTTAATATTTAGTAAAAACCATAGATATGTGTAAAATGTAAGTCGAATATTTAAATATATAGTATTGCCGTAACATAAAACACTGTTATATGTTAGTAAAGGAAAATACTTCATTATGTATTTTGTTTCAGTCAAATGCAAAATAAGAATATAACAAAAATGCAAAGTTTTGTATAATTTTCTTTTTTACCTGTTCTGAAAACAAATATTTTCCATATACAATACAAGTCATAAAGTGATTTTCATCTATTGAATGCCTTGTACTGATACAGATACACTTCACTTCTTTATATCATGTAACTGCTTCCGACGTTTAACACGTAGACAAATTAATGTAAGGGAGGGACCGAGTGTCTGTCCATTGTTGACAAAGAATGGAAACAAGGTATATCCTTGTTTATATCATTATAATACTACTATGATCAATTTCTTTTGAAAATTATATCTACTGCATAAGCATGTGCATATTGTATGAAACTGGATATTGCTTAGGGGGAGGGGTACGTCACAAAAAAACTCAGTAAATTTTCAAGCTTAAATGGTACCGGAGGACCGGAAGCGGTTTTCGGTGCATTATTTCAGGCACAGAGAGCACCGACGATTTGCATATTACTTAACATTTTGAAACATAGTAATTGAGAGTATACAAAACAGGTGTTCTTTGTAAAGTCAAGGGACTATTTTATATTTTGTAATTACTCCATCAATCAAAATATCCATACCAATTGTAAAGAAGTCATACAAGTATATGCATGATATAAAATAATAATAGTGGATATGTCTCACACTTATTAAAACAGCATATGTTCTGATGTCTGTGTTGAAATGCTTTTGACTAAACCATTCACACATTCTATTGAAAATACATGAAATACTTCGTAAGGTCATCCCAATGAAAAAGAGTTACATATTGAAGGACCTTTGTCTAATATATGGCAAAAACCTAAAAGTTGGTAACCTAACTAAAGAACACTTTTAATATTTATATTTGATATTCATGTTGAAACGCATTCGAAAACATGTATCAGTTTGTAAATGAATGTATAATAAGCCGTTGTTTGTACTGCAGTTTGCGGTATTAACTTATGCACCATCGAATTCATTTTATGCGATATTCATCGGAATTTGACCGTGGCTCATTAGTCAAATATTGCTTTATTATATGAAAAGGCTAATATAAAAAAACACACAAAAGTAAAGAGATTTTAATATCCTGTATGTTGTAATTAAGGTTGTATACCACACTTAAGTGAAATTATATACATGCATACATATAATTATGCTTATAAAACAATTTTCAAACATCGAAAAATATGTACAATATGTACTGTAAATATTTGTTTATATTATATGTCATCAATATTATATATGCATTCATTTCTTATTGAAAAAATTGACTTAGACGTTATAGAAAATATTTTTACCCCCCTTTATTTACACGAACTGCTTATTTTGATAATATCTTTATAAATAACGCTTTTTGGAAGAACTTACAAAATTGATAACTCTTAGTACTCACCGTTTCCATCTCTAAAATATATTTTAGCAGAAAATAAATGAATAATGAATGGCATTATTTATGATCGGACATAACCATCAACATATTCATATGCAATGAAATATGACCATTACTGTCTCAAATGTGATCCTTATCTTCATTAGTTTTCTCACTTTCAACACAATGTTTCAAAGTACCATGTGTTTTATTCTTACATCCCGATAAATAACACAGATATCACTGGACACGACAACCAATTTTGAATGCACATTCATATTATGACTTCTAACATTCAAGTGTGACCTTAGAATTTTTGTTCGCTACATTTCGTCTTGCAAATCTTCATATTTATGCACAATTATGTTTAAATTAATCCATGAATGACAAAATTGTAGACTGGACATGTAAGGCGTCTTAAGGAAAGATTTTGTTGGATAAGCATGACTTTAATCTTTGATCTAAATCTGGGTGTTCATGTTTAAGCGCATTGGGCATCGATATACGAAGAAGTTATGGACCAGACACAGCCATGTTCTTCTGATTTATATCATGTTTTATGATCCAGAAGTTTAACTTTAACCATAACCATGTTGGCATTGTTTTTGCACATGACACGATCCATTCATATAAACTATTAACGCGAATTTATTTTTCGTTCAATGACGGGACATTAACAATTGACAAGATTTTAACATTTCTACATCGCCTGCCCTAGAATAGTCAAACATAAAATTTAATACCACATTGTTACCAAATGGACCCCAAAAGTCCTCATAAATGGTAGTCTACGGGGCACGTATGTTTCGTCTGTTTTTTCTATTTTCTGATCGCAGATCAGGATATACAATGCTGACATTCAATCTCTGGCACATAATTTCATGGCAAACCTAACAACAAGTATTTCTCAAAACAGCTTAAAACTAGCGATGTAAAAGAAAGAAATATTTTTATTTTGTAACATGTATCCAACAAATTACAACGCATTCAGAGTTTAAAGCAGCGTTGGCTTATAGAATTTTTAATAAATGCACAATCACATATTACGCGGTTGAATATCATGTAATCAGTGAAAATGCTATTTTTAGCGATGCCGGTTACCGAATACTACAGAGCGTGGTACACATATATATCTGGCTGTCAAGTAATGAAATATATACATGTCGGACTGTTTTGGCGAGATGTTCGTTAATTTTTTTACATCCGTGTTAAACAACAGGTTTATCGTGAACAAAATACCTCTAAATTAATGAGGATTACAAACAAGAAATGGAAATTCTAAATTGAGAATAATTTGATTTTATTCCAGCTTTCTTCGTATTTATTCCCCGTCGTGCAGGGGTAACGTGCTCGTTTAGGGTGTGAGAGGGGTGTGAGAGGTCACTATTTTAAGAGTAGCCAAGATATGCAAGTGTGGCCGTTATAGAAAAAATTCAACATAAAAGATTTTTTGATTTAACTCTAGTCATGCAAGATTACGTATGTATCAAACTCAAACTGTTATAGTAAAAAATCTAAACACAGTCGCTGCATCTCGGTGCCCTGTAAGATGAATTATAGAATAAAATAATATACTTATACAGACATATACCGTACGATTTAGATTCAAAGATCGGAAATACCACAGAGCTTGCAGCCCTTTGATTTATATACAGGACTGAAATACTAGCTTCATGTAAACCAGTTTGTAGGCTACTGTATGATACTCACGGCAAGGAACATTTCTCCTAATTGAAGAAGCTATAGATCTAATGTTCAGGAAGGAGTCTTTTTCATGAAAAAATATTATTCGAATGCCCACCTGGATGGCAATTCCTAGTATTTTTGGAAATGCTAATACTTGTGTTTTTTTAATCAATTCGTGAACTCAATGACAAAACTGTGAACATGATCCCCCACTAATGATTTGTTTTACAAAATTGTCTTCTAGATTTCTAGATAGACCCTGATCTTTGGACTGTTGAAATTGATATTAGGCACTACATATCCTAGTATATGTTTTTGCGCAAATACAATAACACAGTCATATCATTTCTCTTTGAAACCAAAACATTTTCATGGTACCGCTATTTGAAGTGTTAGTTTAATATAAAGTACACCTTTCATAAACTGTTATTAAACAGTGTTTTTAAGTTATTTTAAATTTTAAGTTTTATTTATTATGAAAGAAAACAAGCATAGCGCCTTATTGCGAAATAGTACCATGTGATGTAGAGGGGCGAAATAAATATTTTTTTATCTATTTTTGTAAATCATGTGAAAACCAGATTGTTGGTAGAAGTTGAATATATTTTAGAAATATTCCAAATATCACGAATATGATTACTTCATTTCAAAATAATAGATACTTTAATCTTATCCATTATAATTATTTTTTTCATGATTTTTATGGGGTTGTTTTTGTTTTTTTAAATTAAAGAAAAATCAGTGGCATAAAAAGTATATAATGTTCGGTTACAACACAGCATTATCAAATAATCTAATTTTGTTACTCCTTATTACTTACGTTTACAGAAAAAAAGAAGAAAAGCATCCGAAAGACATGTTGTTTACAACACAATACACGTGTATCATAAAGTGGTAAACAACTGAAAGATGGGGCGGTGGTGACAATCCAATAGCATAATGACATGAAAAAATGAATCGTAAATGACCAGATAATGGCTCTTTTTCGTTGTACGAAACAAATACTTGAACCACATTATCAGAAACATATCGAAATATTTAAAAATAGGTAAATAAATAAATAAATACATAAATAAATAAATTAATTAATTTATTAATTAATTAATTAATCATACATTTATAATGTGGGTTTACTCTGAATGTTTATGTTTCATTCAATTGTTTAATTTATTGCCCTCATTTGAATATTAAATATTATCTTGTTGCTTCAGAAAGTCATAAAATATAATTGACAGCTCTAACATACATTTCAAAAGTTTAAGTTATTCAAATATCTTTTTTTATATTTTCTTAAAGATAATTATTAAAAGTTATCAGTCATAGATCATTGTCTGTAAAACAGTTGAGAAAAGAAAAGTTACCATTGTCAACCTTAGATTTCAGTCAAAAAATTTCATATTATCTCGTTAGTGTATAATAAACTTTTATGATAACTGAACATTTATTTTTGTGCATGTTATTGTTGTTCTTAAACACAGTATCCCTATTTCTCTTAATTATCGGGGATACTCGTATAAACATCAACATGCAGCTGGGTAACCTTGAGCCCATGAAAAAAACACTCACTCAATCGTATTTAAGATATCATTAGAAAGAGAGTTGCAACAACAATCTAATTTCATCTATTCAAACAACACTTGTTATGATGTTCTTGTAACAGGAAACACTTCAAGTGCGACTTTCTTAAAACAATTAAACAATTATCATATTTAATCGTATGAAAGTATTGTATTTCCCGTGTCAATCTTTTTTCAAAGTATTCTCTAAATACAAAGTAACATGTCATGTTGATATGAATAATTTGAAGTAAACATTGATATTTTAATAGGAAAAAAGGAAGATATCATATTACGGGAATACCATTGTTTTAATGAAATAGACACTCCAAATAAGAGTATATAATCAAAAATCACTTGTTCTGTGAATGAAGTGGATGTGTGAGTAAGAATTTGTTGAATTCCCTTCCTGATTTTTATAAATTTATGGAAAAAAATAATAAATTGAAACATTTGTGCCTTGTTTTATCATTAAACTCGTTTATTAAAAATGCAGATTTTGGTTAAAGGTAGCTCAGGGTATGTGACATCTAAAGTTGTTGAAAAAAACTGGGAATGGATGATAATCAGGTAAAAAATGAATAAAATTTGAATGAAATTTGAGTGATTTTGACTAAAGTGGCTAATTTTATTAAATGTAAAAATGCAGCTATGTGTTAAATAACCCAGTAAAATATAATATTGAGAGATGTAATGTCGTTTACTTTACGTGTGCCTATGTGATGATGTCTTAATGAAAAAAGATATTATGCGTAAAAAACGTTTTTTGCTGTCAATGCTGCAATTCTCTCACTTCTTTGTCTGTTAAATTATAGCATATTTATACAAAACAACTAAATATCCTCTATTTACATCTCCGCATACTTTTTTCCGTAAAAAACGTTTATGAACATTTCCATATAAAACGCAGTCCAAGATCGTAACAGATTACCCTTATATTGGCCAATTATTTCAGAACTATTTCTCGTAAACTAAATGATTTATAATTTTTTTATTTATGATTCGCGGAATTAAATGGGATAGCGACTTCTGACCGATTTTGCAATTCTGTATATATTTAACCATATTTCTACTGCACTACTAACGCAGCAATGGCTTTTTTGCATAATTATGTTGACCACATTTTGGTATTCAACATCGGTTGTTAATCTCGGTTGCAATGATGATTCTTAAATGTGTTCCAGATTTGATATCTCGGTTTTTTTTAGCACATTCACTACCGGAGTGTGTATTGAAAACCTTGCGCCCTCCCCAAGTAATGATTCTTTTCCTGCGGTCTCATTTATTAGATACTTTTGCGTATCAAAATGTAAAATATATCATATTCAAGAAAGATATAACGAAAACTAGGCCGTTTGACACATTCCTATATTTCAGATATCCTGAGTGTTCTCGAAAGGTTAACAAGTTAAATTCTATATTGGACAGAAATTAAAAATACACTTAATGTAGCCTTATTCAATGAAAAAATAGAACATAACATAATGCTATTGAAGCTTTAACCTTTATTTAGTATTTACCTAGTTTGCCATAATGCATACAATTATATCATATTTGATCTAGAATAACTATACTGGAAAATTGTGCACTAGTGGGTAAAAACATAAGGCACAAACTATCCAAAAATCTATAATTATGTTAAAAATTGTCTTACCTGTCACGTTGAAATGGTTTAAAGCTGCAGTATACCGTTAACAAATAACTGTACATCCATTCACCACACAGTTAGTGAAATAACATAACGTACCTTCAGCATCTCAAGCATCTCTGAAATGAAGTTGACATTAAACTTCCGTTAACATTACTTCAATCTCAAGTGGTATATACATTTTATCCGGTTTGGAAGAGTAAACACTTGATGGACAAATGGTTTTCTTCCGGGTTCATTGACGTTGGAAACTGTATAATTGTAAAATATGTGTATGATATAGAACACATCTGATTTATTAGAAAAAAAAGTATGTAAATCAAATTCATGAATAAAGTCAAGTTGTCGGTGGTGTGTTGTCATATGGAATGTAAGTAATCAAACAAACTTTCAAAATAATATCTTACATACACGTAATTATAACAGCACAATCTAATGATATAAAACAGCAAGTAAATAATGTTCCTGATGGTGACTTTTACAAAATAAGCAAATACAAATGTGACTGCTAGTAAAATATAGTTTTTTCAATCCATTCCGACATGTATGCGTATAATTAGGCCCAATTCAATATTTTGAAGCCTCGGCGTAGATTCTTTTGGACTTGATTTACTAGATTACAATAAGAAAAACTAACTGAACAATCTCATAAGCTGGAGCTATTAAAGTAAATGGAAACAGAACTGTTAAATTTTATACATAAGGAAATGTTCTGTTTATTTCTCTGCTGTTAATAATTTACAAAATTGTCAATAAAAATTAGTGTATCAATATTACTAATGTTAGATAGACTAAGTACACATATATATTTACTTTATACAGAAAAAAGGTTCACTTTGATGCACAAATAATTATGTTATTTAGTTTACGTGTACATTTATGTAATTATTGTGCATTTTTTAAGTTATGTGAATATTGCACAACTTGATGTACACCTGAAACACATGTGTGTCATTTTGAACAATCTTAAGACATTGTCAGCAAAGTAAATATGTCGCAAAACAGTCAGGTCGCCCAAAAATTCTGATTTGCGCAATTTGGTCATAATCTGTCTAATTTTGCAGATTGGTATATAAACTCGAATTTTGCTTCTTTTTTGAGTTCATTGGAGTTGAAGAGTCGTTGTTGTTGAGTTGAATTATTCTACGTAAAGTGTTCCATGTGCTTGTAGACTGTTGCTGGAATATAACAACAACGCATTGTTTGCAGTTTATATCAATAGAGGTAATATTGCTTGTTGCTGGGTCGTGAGGGGGTTGCGTTTATTGAATGCCGCCTTCCCTTATTGATCTTGTCTTTCACTTTTATTTCTTTTTCAATAAACCAGCATACGGGCTTAATAGATATATTTTTAGCAAAACATAAGCATTTCTTGTTTCTTGTAATGGAAAATAGTGTAAACACATTATATGACAGTTAAAATATCACAGTATGGGTTTATATTGGAGAGGAATAATATTATATTTATTTTAGTATACATTTCGAATTGTTTCAGTGATATCAAACTATCCTAAAATGCAGTGGTTTATGTGACTTCTAACATTGCAAGGGTTAAAATAATAAGCACATAAAACGGAGCTGGTTGTCAGGTCTCGCAAGGGCTGTAGTGTACTTAGATTGCATATACGACATGAATAGAATAAATTGAAACCATGGTGGCTGATTTGTGTCATTCGTGTTTTCGCTCCGCAACCCAGCCAATGAAACCTGGAGAATTAACAAGTTAAAATGGCTGGGGCAGAACGAAAACACGCTTATTAGCGAGAGCGGTGCTAAATTTAATAAATATATAACTTCGCAAATCGGGGCGCGGAGCGAGATGTTAAGAAATGCAATGGTTTGGTGCGGAGCGAAAACACAATTTTTAGCGGAGGCTCGAGGCGAAGTTTAGTAAATAATATTTCGCCCTGCATCCCTGCTAATAGAGAGTGTTTCCGCTAATGTGAAAGTTTGCAATTTTAAATAGCGGGGGACGGAGCAAAAAAAAAAAACGCCGTTTTTCTTATTAAATCTTGCCGTTTTATTTCTTAAATCTCGCTCCGCGTCCCCCCCCCCCCGCGGAGCAAGGTTTTATATATTTAACATCGCCTCGCGTCTCGCTTAGTAGCGTGTTTTCGCATTGCGCCCTCGCCATTTTATCTTGTCAATCCTCGACTGTTTCGCTTGGCAGGGTCAATGGGTGAAAAACACGAATAGCACAAATAAGCCACCATTCACTTACAATAATATACATGTATTTCTAAGTCAAACAAGTTAGAAAACATGACAGTGTCAATCGATTTTTTCCGTGTATGCTTAAGTGCGTAATTCAAACACTTGAATTTCAAAATGTGAAACAAGCTTAATGTCATATGACATACCAAATGTTGGCCTTGGTTTAACGTTATCAGATAAATCGGGTCAGACAAAATCAATGTTGAAGCTAGAATATAATTTGAACATGGAAAAAATAAAAAAAAAATGCCATGTTTCAATGTAATAAGTATTTGCTTAAACAGTCATTTAACTTCTTTGCGACGGTAAAAGTGGAATATAATATATAAATTATATTTACATTAAAATGAAAGAATGTTTGTTAAATTAATCTTGCAAACGTAAAAGCAATTTTTTAAGAAGCAGTGTTAAGTTAATTTGCTATAAGTATGTACTCACTGAAATATCTAGCTTACAGAACTTAGGTGGTTCTACTTAAGTAGCCTTTCGTGCCTTAAATAATGCACGTTAGGGCATATGAGGTCTTCCTCCACCAGTAAAGCTGGAAGGTCGCCATATGACCTATATTGCGTCGAAATGACGTAAAACCCAATCAAACAAACACTGAAATATCTACTTACACTCGTCAACCTTGTATCAATTTTATCAAGCGGAGCTTAATCGTTGCCTCGTAGTTTGTCCGATAGTTATCCACATCTTGTCTTTATTGTTGTTTTTGTAGTGATATACATGTATGTATTTTTTCTTAGTTTTAATAATTATCCTCTTGACATTTTTATGCAAAAAGCATGTACTGAAAAAAAGGCCGGATAATGTTGAGTACAAAAACAAGGAAAAGAAAACAAGAAAAAGATAAGCATTTATTGAAATAAAGGCTGTATTTCTGGATACCATGGTACGCATTTGGATAAAATTATTATATAGAATAATGTATCGATATTCAATCAAAAAGGGACCTGGTGTCCTTGTGAACTATAAGACAGCACCAGTAAAGCCAAAAAATCTCCCACGTGGACATACAAAGTATAACATAATTTTAAAGGTACAGTTTTATTTGTCATAAATAAACAGTTTTTTAATCATTGCTTTAATATTTTACAGAGGGACATCTATCGTAAAATGTAATTATTTTATATACACATGAAAAAATTCCTTTCATAATAAATAAATAAAAATCATTATGGACACTTCCCTATAGTAACCTCAAACTTGGACATTGCATGAATGGCTAAAAGATGCACAATGACTAAAAGATACGCATTAACATATAAATAGACTAGTGATAATGTAACTGAAAAATGCAATGAAATAACCATATACGGTTGTTGACTACAAATTGTAAAAGATAAACGTGTAAAAACATTAAACGGCATAGAAGGAAAAATTTCAGTATTTTACAAAATGCACTTTGTAAATGTAATTTTAAACGACAACGACGATTTTGGATATCAATAACTTTGTCTCATTTCTATAATTAAACATTTTGCAAAGAGAAAGGTGAAAATTAAAGTTATTTGTTATGAATCACCATTCAGAAAAAGTGTATTCTATTATTCTATGTATGGCTGAATTTATCAATTATAAAGGTTGATATAATATTCCATCACAAAAAGATAACTTTATAATATTTTCAAATAATCATAGCACTAGGATGGTAATGTTTCCATTTCCAACATATTCTTGAAATACTAAAAAAACGATTAATTTATTAATCTCAAGACAAACTTGCTTACAATACTTTGTAACAAATATTCAACACATTTAATAATTATACCCATTGAAACTTTATGCACGCATTTGGTAACGTGAAGCAAATATCGCAGACTTATCGCTAAGAATTTGTTTTAAATTCTATTTTGAACCAAAGACATTTAATGATTAAACAATTAACACTATCTAAACGTATTAAATTAATAGTCTAATGAAAATATATTCATAAAGATAAGGATGTAAGTCCATAGCTTGTGTTGTATATGCCGTCTGGCTCTCTATACATTTATGATGTGAAATTTCAAGATATTTATAAGCACAAAGTGGAGTATGACAATAAAAATATCCATCTAGAAAATTAAATAGCAAATTAATGGTGATTGAAAGCTGAGAAAAAAGTGAAAAGATATTGCAGTATACCTATGAAACGTTGAATACGACAACAACTGACTGTCGTCTTTAATCTAAACACTTTGGTTTGTTTGCCTTGCTTTATCTTATATTGTAAAACAGAAAAATAGCTCTGTCGTATTACAAAATGCTGTTTCTTATATTATTCAGTGTTTAATTCAAACACTTTATCACTTCTTATATAGACATGACATGATTGAAAATGCCCTTTTTCATGATTTATGAAATTGTTTAAGCTTTTTTATTTAAACTTTCATTGTTTATTACGATTTTACAACAAGTCGTAAAAAATATATAGATTAGTATAAAAAGGAAAACAACTGACTTCCAAGGTCATATCAAAACAAGTAAATGGTTCCCATAAATAAAGGAAGACATCATTTGGAATTGTGTCGTAGTCTACACAAGTAAATGTTTCCCATAAATAAAGTAAGAAATACTTTGGAATTGTGTCGTAAGCTACTATCATTGTACTTATAAGGCATAATTAAAGGTTCTTTTGTCTTGCTTATTTAATCCTATAATAACGTTGCAAAATCAAAACAAAAAAGTACACGAAAGAGCATTTGTTGTTTTTTTGTTGTACTTATGTTGCCTGTTGTTATCATGCCTGTATACGTTTTGCTAGCAGTTGCATGTGTCGAATTCTTATCGTTTTGGTTTTGCAATAAACGTTTTATCATATCTGAAAATATGCAATCCTTGATACTACGATGACGCTTTGCAAAGAAACATAAATATACTATTTAAAAAGAACACGACTAACATTAGGTTAAACACTGTTAACATTAAAAAACTTAAAACAACAATCTTACTATTT